AACCAAAGAATAATTAAATAATTAATTTTAAAAATTGATAGATAAAATTCTTTGAAGAACAATTTATTAATATTTCATAGTTATTTCAGAGTTATAAAAGAACACAATTAGTCTCTTAACACTTTTAAAAAAATACTACCATGTGTTTAAAATAATGTTCAAAAATTTCTTAGGTAAGTAACTCTGTGCACTAAATTGACAATCCCACATCTTAGGTAACCGTCCAGTGCTCTGGGAGTGTGTAAACTTCTTCTTTGCTTCAATGAACATATGCAGGGGCGTACTGTGGCATATACTGTGGTTTACCGTAGTTGTCTGTAGGAAACAGTAGCCATACAGTGGCATACTGTAGGCGTATCGGGGCCTCCTGTATGTAACTGTGGCATGCTGGGGATACATACAGTGGCATACAGAGATTTACAGTATATACAGAGCTAGCATACCGTAGCATACTGTAGATATACCGTAGATTACTGTGAAAATGCTGTATGATACAGAGAAAGACAGTGGATTTTCATACGGACAGGGGTTTTAAAAGCCAGTAGTGTAGATAATATTGCACGCAGGTCCTTCATTTGGCATGTTTAGTGGAACTCTTCAACTCCAGGAAAGAACCCAATAAAGTTCAAACTACGTTGCGTATGACCTTAATAAATATACAGGTTTTTTTTTCAATGGATGGCACTGTAGCTAACCGGTCTGTCAATATATTTTTCGGAGAGCTACAGATCTGCAGCTAAGAAAATGATTGCAAGTTCTTTAATTATAAACATGAAATTAACCTCCTGAAAAAGAATAGATTAGACATGCAAAAAAAAAAAAACACTAATACTTCTTTGTGTTCTTTAATGTTCCAATGTCCGTAGTTTCTTAAGGACATAAATATATACACTTATATACAGTGTAACATGTGCTGTTAATTTCTGAAGGTTTCTTCTTATAATCCGGCTTTCTTTTTAATAATTTTAATAATAAATCTTAGAATGACTAATGAACCAAAAAATTGAAATTTTGCCATCAATCCATATCAGTAAATGCGAGTACTTTACACATGCGCTGACCTATTTAGAAAATTCCATCGAGTTCTCACCATCATTTACGTTTATAGTGAAGAAGACTTTACATGAGAACATAAAGTGCATGCAGCATGTATATTTGAAGAACCACCACCACCCAGGCGATTTTGTGTGTCTGACTTTATATGATGCACAGGTTGTTTTTTTTTCTCAATAATAATGCACATCGCTCATTGTTTACATCTCGATTTATATTTAGAAAATCGCATCATCATCTAACTGCGGTAATCCTCCGGCCTCGCACTTTTTGTGTGGAGCGTAGTGCAGTCAGACGAGGATTGACGATGGATAAATGGCAGCTTACACTGTGATTTCACATCCGGAAATCAAACTTAATGTGTCATCTCTCACGAGAGATGACAAAAACAATAATGAAAAGTAGTATAAGAAAAGAAAAGTAGTATAATGATAAAATACCATCATATAATGACAGAGTACCATCACATAATGATAAAATACCATCATATAATGACAAAATACCATCATATAATGATAAAATACCATCATATAATGACAAAATACCATCATATAATGATAAAATACCATCATATAATGACAAAATACCATCATATAATGATAAAATACCATCATATAATGATAAAATACCATCATATAATGACAAAATACCATCAATAATGACAAAATACCATCATATAATGATAAAATACCATCATATAATGATAAAATACCATCATATAATGATAAAATACCGTCATATAATGACAAAATACCATCATATAATGATAAAATACCAAATACCATCATATAATGACAAAGTACCAGCATATAATGCAAGTTCTGCACATAAGGTAGTTACGGCGTTCCATAGAATTTATATATTTGGAGATTTTTAATATTATCTAACAAAGTAATGTCTGGGTAATCTTTCTTTAAACTTTTACAAAAATATCAATGTTCTTAATCAGAATGAAATTCTTTTCATTTATATCCAACATGTCTACTTTTCAACCTCCCTGGGTACATAACAACATCGGCAGAATAACTTTAAGTGCGTGACTTCCTTACCAATATTTTTCAATGGATTTAAAAAATATGATGATTTGATAAAACAATCGGAAGTAAGGTATACATCTATAGCTACATTCTACTATATCGTAACTGAAATATTTCACATGTTTCCAATTTGTTACCAATAATGGTCTCTGTGACATCTGCTGGTGATGTCCTTGATGAGTCTGAAAGAAAAAAATTGCACACAACTCAATTAAAACTTTAATGAACATAAATTCTTAAATTTAGAGAAGGTAGTACATGTAGCTTACTTATGTTTTAGCTTATTAAGAAAAAGCAAATCCCTTATTAAAAAAGACTTAAAAGGATAATTATTACTTGCTTTCTTCAGTTTTTTTGTGAAATGCAATAAGAAAATATGATTGGTGCAAATTGTATTGTACTCAATCAAAAATATAATGTTCATTAATCTATTCATTTATTTTAAAGACTTTTATAAAAAAAAAATACTGAAAAAATGAATTCGTAATAAGGTCTATGATTTCGTTCATTTTAGATTAGGGAATACCACGAATAATCATTTTAGATTTTCACGATACATAATGTGTTTAAAAAATAGAAACGCTACATAAAACTACCTGGAGCTTCACACACACCAAATCCAAGTTTGCCTGTTAACCTACAAACTTTCTGACCGCCACATTCCTCTGCTGATGTGCAAATATCAACAAAAGTACCAAATACTGCAAAAGTTAAACTTATTGATTGAAACATATATGATTGGCTGTTATACCATTTAAACAAATATGCATTTGAAAATGTAATATGTTTTAGGCATCTTTAGTCCCTTTATATATATCCTCTTGATCTCCCCTCTTTGTCCAAATATCTGTGTACATATATATATATGTAGTAAAATTATAATCGATGTCTATAAACATACCTGAATGCTTGTTATTTCTACATGTTGTTTCCATTTTGATTCTCTTCATATCAACTTCAATCACCTGTTTGCAATTTGGCTTTGTTTGAAATAAAATACTATTGTTTTTGTTTATTTCGAGTTTAAAAAGTACTTTGGAAAGCTGGAACGTCGGCCATTCAGTAAGTGGCACCGTGGATATGGAGCATGAATGATTACACATACGATCTGCTTTCTCTAATTATAAGTAGAACAAAATATACTAGTATACATGTTTTATTGGTCTCAGTAAAGATAGCATACTATAGTCTGCATGCGCAAAATAAGACAAAGAAAAATAAAGATATTTATGCATTTAATTTTATCTAAACCGCAAAAAATTTTAAAATACTTTAAAGAAGACTCTGAAATATATCATCTTTTTTTATTTTAACTTCTTAAAAAGTAACTATGAAATATAAGAATGTTAAAGCTTGACTTAAACGACTTTAAATAAACAAATTTTCATAGACGCACCAGGAATCCAATCGGTTTCTATCTCTTTTAGCTTAAAGCCGCAAATAACTGGACTTTTCCAGAAGCGATATATATCGTCAAAACAGGTTTCCCTTGAAAACATACAGGTACACTGATAAAACATAGATATAAAGCAAAGAAACTACGAAGAATGTTTATGTCGTGTTGTATGTAAGCAAATATAGGCGTACAAAAACCTCACTTGTTTTTAGCCGGGCTTATTGCTTAAAGAGCAATTGCCGGCTTCAATCGCAACTTTCTCGGGCATTTCCGGCTAGCGGAAAAACGACCTCGAATGTACTAGGAAGACGCCATTACAACCCTTTTCACGATCTTTGAAATAAATGCATGGAGACCTTTCATCTGTGGAATATGTAGTTTAACTTTATTCAATGTAATGATATTACCTAAAATATACCATAGAAGGAACTTCTATCTCCGTTTACACTATATTTGAATAAACAGGAAGATGTATAAATTTTTAACATCCGGTGATGTTAATACATTCGAGGTTGTTTTTCCGACCTCTGACGGAAAGACCCGAGATGATGCGATTGTTGTCGGCGTAAAGACGAATACTGACCCCCATCGAATAATGACCGGGGGTCATTTTGCAACGACAAAAAATGACCCTCCACCCGTAGAAAAAAATCTTTTTTTTGTAGAAAAAGAGTCCTAGGGGTCATTATTTTATATGTTCGTCCTATAAAAAATTGACCCCCTTTGAAAGATGACCCCCTTTAAAGTGATACAAAATTTATAACAGGTGAAAGGGAAAAATATTTTGCATATTATAATTGTTCTTGCTTCGAGTAAATCATGCATTTGTTCGAATAAATTTGATCTAGCACGTAGGGGTAATAAACACTTCTGGCTTCTAAATCCAATTTATTTTAAAAATACAAAGTCACTCCAAGTATTTCATGGATTAAACAGGTGTTAGCAAAAAAAATAATTAAATAATTGATGGAAAAAAAATAGATAAATAAATACTTGTTGAATCAATGATTTATTAATTTTTCAGAGTTATGACAGAACTCAATAAGTCTCTTCACAAATTAAAAAAAAAATACTACCATGTGTTTCAAATATTGTTCAAAATTTTCTCAGGTAAGTAACTCTGTGTACTAAATTGATAATCCCACATCTTAGGTAACCATACAGTGCTCTGGGAGTATGTATACTTCATTTTGCTTCGTCGCCCGCGTGGCGCAGTGGTTAGAACGTCTGCTCTAGAGTCAAGAAGTAAGAAGTCAATTCTTATGTCGCGGGTTCGAATCCCACTGCGGGAAGTGGAGACCGGTCCTTCGGAGACAGTATAAACTGAGGTCCCGTGTCGCAGTAGGTGCTGGCACGAAAAAAGATCCCTCTCTATGGCCCTAAGTGCTGAGTAAAGGATAAAATTTGCAGCTCTCCACCGGCAAATGGTGGCGTCTCCATATGAAGTGAAAAATTCTCGAGCGAGACGTTAAACAATATACAATCAATCAATCTTTTTGCTTCAATGAACATATATAGGGGCATACTGGGGCATATACTGGGGTTAACCGTAGGTGTCTGTAGGAAACAGTAGCTATACAGTGACATACTGTAGGCGTATCGGGGCCTACTTTATGTAACTGTGGCATGCTGGAGATACATACAGTGGCATGCAGAGATTTACTTTATATACAGAGCTACCGTACCATACTGTAAATATACCGTTGATTACTGTGAACAATCTGTAGGATACAGAGAAAGACAGGGAATTTTCATACAGACAGGGGTTTTAATAGCCAGTTGTGAAAGTTTCTCATTTTCTCAGCCGAAATATTGACAAATTAGTTTTAGCAATTAACAATCAATCAATTAATCTTCATTTCTCTGATAAAGGAGCAAACCTAGAAAATCAAAGATGGCACATTTAAATGGATCAAACGCACGCTGGAGATGAAATTTATGAATATAATTTTTTTTTTCTTTACTGACTCCATTGAAACGTTGTTTCAGAAAAAAATTATTTGTTTGGAAAAAGTAGAAATTTGTAGCAGACGAATTAATATCGGTGCGTACAAAGAAGTAATTTGTTCGAATTAATCCTAGACGTCAGACAATGAAAGAGGGTGAAATTTTATCCCCCCTCCCCCAAAAAAGAACATTACATTAAATCAAATAAATAAATGAAAAGCAAAAATATCAATAAAACTCTATACCTTTCAATAATACTAAAAGAGGCTTTAGGTAAAATATTGAAATGAGTTTAAGCCTTCACACAAGTACATCATATCATAATGTATTGATTAAAGCATACTTTAAATGTTGATGGGGGTAAACTTGAAAGTATTGTGGCAAAGTAGCAGTTGAAAATTAGTAGAATAGTATATTATTTTAAGCTTATTTTTAGTCCCTCGCTATAGAAAAATAAAGCTAAGGTAGTTTTTTTTGTTGCTTTTGTTGACAATTGACTTCCTCATAAATAAGTAAGGGGGTGGGGTGGGTATAATATTAGTTATCCAGGTTCAATCAAGGGTGTACGGGGATTTACCCCGGGTTTTATTCCATACACCCTGAGGCCGCAGGCCTCAGGGTGTATGGAATAAAACCCGGGGTAAATCCCCGTACACCCTTGATTGAACCTGGATAACGAATTTATTTCCTTTGTACCAATAAAAAAAGCTTTGTAAACATCAGAGTGTGTCTCAATCTATCGATTAGATAACTACGTACTGAGAATGTATGCATTGTGACGTCACGTTTTATTTACACCCGGCTCAAGTCGGGTGCACGGATATTTACACCCGACTTTGTAACCAATCAAAGCCCGTGTTACAAGCTAGATAGGAAATAACACCTAAAATATGCTCTGTAAAGCTATGGGCTAGTGTAAAATATACATTCTAATGCAAAAAGTATACATGTAGACACAACCTTTAGATTTAGCACACAGTATTCATTACTTTTCTTAATTCTTGTTTTACTCCACCCTTTTACTCAGATCAGTTCTGAGAATATTTTTCAAAGAATTTAATATGAAAATCAGAACAAACATTTTCATTTTTATAACGTCTTCTTTATACTGTATCATGATATGAAAAGTTGATTGAAGACCATTTCTTTTTATGTCCCCGTAATCGAAGATTCGGGTGTATATAGTTTTATCGTGTACATCTGTATGTCTGTCTGTCTATCTGGCGGTCTGTTTGTCCGCAAAAACTTTAACCTTGACCATAACTTTTCATTTATTGGATCTTTGACTTTCTTATTTAATATGTATTTAATATGTGTATTCCTTGTGACAAAACCATACTTTGGGTACCACCCGATTAGACCTTTTGACCTTGGAGATTTCCGTTCTTATGAAAAAAAAATGTTTAACCTTGGCCTTAACTTTTGAACGATTAGGGCTAGGGTTTTCATACTTCACATATGTAATAATTGTTACATTAAACCTTTCTTAAGAAACTTTGACCCTTTGACCTTTGAGTTTGACCTACCTTTGAAAAAGTTATCCTTCGCCATTACTTTTGAACAAGGGGTGCTAGGGATTTCCTATTTTGCAATTGTATTTCTTGTGAGAAGACCCTACTTTGGGTACCAATATATTTAAATTGCATTTTAGAAAAGCTTAATCTTCGTTATGTTGCCATACAGGGGAACAGCTGTTTCACAAACACATCTTTTTAATTCATATATATAAGAGGAGTTGCGGAGAGATGGATACCCCAAAGCGTAACAGACGGACGGACGGACATCCCGATCACTATATACCCTGCCGTTTTTCAAGCGGAGGATATAATAATAATATATGATACTGCTGATTTTTTCTGTCAGTTCGATGATTTCCACCATCGAAAAGCAATGTTTACATAACCCTTTAGGCTCAATAAATCTTTTACTCCTTTAGATTCTGAATCATCGCATTAACCTTAAAATATAGCTATGATTGTATAATGTTATGAGATCAACATAACATCAATTTATACCCATTTAGCTCAGGTGAGCATTTTGGCCAATATGCTTCTTTATCTATTTTTTCTTATGCCACCTTAAAAATTTCAGCTTTAATCCACAGGGAGTCATTTTCCTACGGGGGTCATTTTTCTTCACGTAGGTTCTGCAAATTTTTAGGGTGGTGACACTTTTTCTAAGGGTAAAAGGATCATTTTTCGACGTTAAATAATGACCGGGGGTCATTTTTCGCCGTAGAATATTGTCCGGGGTCATTTTTTTGCTGTCGAAAAATGACCCCCGGTCATTATTCGATGGGGGTCATTATTCGTCTTTACACCGGCTTACAATGTATGTCATCCTGTTCAAGGCAGAAAGTCAACCCCATAGTCGCCATTTTAAAGTTACGTGCAAAAATATAGTTCTTACTCTCAACCACTTTTGAGATAATACAAACGCTAAATAAAGTAACAAAAATAAAACGAAGATTTATCTATATAAATAAACATTAGTAGTAATGACTTTTAAAATTTCAGTCCTAAGTTAAAGAACATAGTTCATTAGCGTTAGGATTTTTGATAATCAGTGTTATCGTAGTTCTCTACACATACGAAGTAAAGCAGGAGAGGGAACCAGATTGGCCTGTTTGTTTACATTCAGCCAGATTAATTCTGATTCTGACAAAATAGGACCGTGGTATTTCGATTGAAAAACTCATTTATGTTGATAGTTTTAAAATAATTTTTTCATCAGAATATAAACGCAATTCAAGTACATGTACGAAATTCATTCTACTCTGTAAATGAGTCCGGCTTTCTATACTTCTGAGTACTTTGATTGAAGTGGACTATTGGTGTTTAATCGACATTGTTTTTGGAAAATGACTGATGTCACATCGACAAAGATATATAGTGGGGTGTTAACAGGTTGATAAATCCTTTGAATTTTGAAGGGTATTTCTCCTTTCAAAAATCATGAAGGAAAAAATTTGCCTGATCTGCTTATTGAGGTATTGAAAGAATCCGTGCAAATAAAGATACTTGTGCATTGCTTGGTCCTGTAAACGTTATACCAAGTCCTTATCTTACAAAAATATTAACTGCTAAAAAGAGTCACAATAAGTACCGTGCTACAGT